CGGACCGAGGAATTCAGAAAGCTTCTCATCCAACCAGGATCACATCGGTGACGGACTCGGGTTGTTAAACTTCGGCTTTCGGCCTCGTGATGGATCACAGGACTATGCCGCTCTCAGCCCAACCTAGGCCTCAGGATAGAAAAATTTAGATTTTCCACCAGGGGGACTGACGTTTCCACTTTCAATTCCAACTTCCAGTACACGGCGCATCAAACTTGAATAACCGGTGTAGGGCCTGCTGGCGCGGCACTGCCCGCTACCTCACCCCATTCCCATCATCTCTATACTCTCTTATCCTCAATCAGTTCCGTAACTAAATTGACGTTCATGTTTAATGTATGGTTTGCGATCTGACCATCCAAAACCCCGAACTCTACCCTACTACTAGGCCCAAGTCCAATCGATAATCTCGACGGCTATCCCACCTCCACATTAACTATCACGGTCTATCCCATAACTTTCGCTTGTTACTTCTTATTACGCTCGAGAACATGCAAAAATAATTTAAAATTTGATGTCGGTCGTGGGTCTGAACCGGGCCCTAGAGCGGGCCGGTACCGGAAAATCCGTTTGTCTGCCAAACGATCGAGAACATGCAAATCGGTGTAACTGCACGACAAGACCCACTACTTAAGGTAGCGGGAATTACCATTGTCACCGTGACGCATAAAATGCTGCCACCAAGCTTATCATCATTAGAAATCACGCAAAGCTGTTATTTTTTCGCTTGTAGTTTGACGGGCTGACAAGTGACTAGCGAGAGGCCGATGTTTTGCTACTATGTTAGATCTTTGCAACAAATTTCTCCCCTATCAATTTGACTCATTTCGAGCAATCCAAATCACTTTGGTTACCTTTTTTGACATATTGACTCTACTCCGACAACTATCCATTGTTTCGAGTAAGTATCATTTGTTGGGAACAATTGTGGCTCTTTCCAAAACACCCTGGGTAAAGGCAACATTGGTGGTCGACGTCCGAGTCGTTGATCCAACTGTAATGCAAGGTACTTACAAAAAAAAGGGAACGAACAAAGAAACATGTTAAGTATACATGTTACACTACTTATGGTAATTGCTATTTGCTATCGCTATGATATATGCAGATGTGTTAGAGGTGGTATGGTGTGTGTATAGAGCTCGTCCATACCGCGTATATCTGTATATCTGTATGTTGTATGTGTATGAGGTATACGGAGGTATGGATGGATGGAATTATATATATATATGCAACCAGAGCCCATGAACGTTTGTCGGAATCTCTAATAGTAAAAAAAAAGGGGGGGAAAGAAGAGGGAGAGAGTGATGGTAATACAAGTGCCCTAATCCACGAAGCAAAGAAGTATAGATCATTGGCCATGGGTCAGTGGACAGATGAAAGAAATGGATAAACGAGATAAACGAGGTGGAAATTGAATCCGAGGCGAGGGATGAACTTGAAACCATAAGGCGAATAATACAGGGGAGGAATCTACAAGCACATAGTATTGGGAACAGTTGAAAAAAAAAAAAAAAGGAAAATGCAATGCAACATCAACTGTCCGCAACATGTACAGTCAAAGAACATCCTTCTTCCTGAAAAAGACGAAACATCAATATAAACAATCGAAAAAAAAAGATCAAAAAAAAAAACTCACTATACCTTTAAACCAGTCGACACACAATCAATTAATCCACCCCCTTCGCCCCCTCTCCCCTCTCCCCGCTCCTACTCCTACTCCTACTCCTTTTAAATGCAACCCAAAATCGGCAACGCACCCTCTCGATTCCCCATCTGCATCCTCAATTCCATGTTCTTCCTCCTCTTCCCCATACTACTCGTGTTCCTACTCGTGTTCCTACTCCCTATCATACTCACACCCGCACTCGCACTTGCACTCGCGCTCGTACCCGGAATCGTCGATGTTCCCCCGTTCTCCCCAGCAACCTCTCCCATAACGCTCGTACACGCAGCTATAAACTCTATTGTCCTCGGATCGAGCGGTTCTGAAGGGTTGATGTAGAACGAGGAGAGATAGGGGAGTGAGTGGAAAGTGTAGGAGACTGAAGACTATTTTTGTTTTTTTATTTTATTTTCATTTGTGGTGGAGGAAGGGGGGGGGATACGATGACCCAGAAGACGTGGAAAGGATGGGTATTGGGAAAGTGTATGGGAAGGTTTTTTGTTCTGATAGTCAGTTCACGCCCAAAACAAAAACAAAAACAAAAAAAAACACGAAGAGAAATCAACGAAAGAGAAAAAAAAACGACTCACAACGGGCGTCTCGGGATGAACATGGATCTTTGGGAAATTGCGTAGATTTGGCATCGTTTCGACTATGGCTTTTTTTTTTTGGTTCATTTATTTGTGTAAGCATAAGCGTAAATCCCTCCGCAATGAAAAAAAAAACAAACAAAGAAAAAAAAGAAAAAACAAAACTCACCACGTATCAAACTCCCCTCCAGCGGGTACATGTTCTTCTTCTTCTTCCCTTCCTCTTCCACACCATCTCCCTCCTCATCTCTACCCTCTCCACCCTCTCCACCCCCTCTCCCATCCCCACCACCACCACCTCCTCCTCCTCCTCCTCCTTCGTCTTCCCCACCCTCGTCATCTAGCACAACCCACATCTCCCCATCCTCCTCCACTCCACTCCCTCCCATCTCAAACACTTCCAAACTCCACCCACCACCTGTACCACCTGTACCACCTGTAGTACCACCCCCCTCCCGGGCCCGAATACACTCGATAATCTTCCACTGAACATCTCTCATCCTCCTCTCTTCTTCCCTATCCCTACCGCTATCTCTATCTCTATCTCTACTATCTCCAACTGCACCTACTAGACCCAGACCTAGACCTGGACCTAGACCTGGATTCAGATTTAAAATATCTTCCAACGGATTCACGGGATCCAAAAGAACAGGATCTATAGGATGTAAAACAGTCGGGTTTGGGAGTGTCCCACCAACTTGAATAGGATCAGTTGCCGTGGTAGGTGCAGGAGCAGGGGTAGGGGTAGGGGGGACAGATGCCACCGAAGACGACGATCCAGGTTCCATTATAGATTCTAGAGGTGAAGGCTGTATAGGTGGAACAGCAGTTGGGTGAAACGGATGTGGATGTGGATGTGGATAGGAAAAAGGAAATGAAAGTGTACTATTGCTGGGAGGATTGAAATCCGTACCCAACATCGTCGCCGGTACAGACATCGAAACAGGAGGAGGAGGAGGTGCAACGGGAAGAGTGCTGTTCGTATTGGGATTCGCACCGAAGAAAGGTGATGTAGGAGAAGGAGTAGGAAAGGGAAGAGTGCTGCTGTTCGTATTGGGATTCGCACCGAAAGGTGACACTGATAGAGTATTGGGAATAGGAAAACGAAACTGAGGCAATCCAGAGTCGAAATCTGATAAAATAGGTGGAACGAGTTCACTGGGTCTAGTGGTACCAGTGTTAGAGCTGGATCCAACCTGTTCTTCTTCCTCGCCCTCCTCTTCCTCCTGCTCTTCTTCGTCTTCTTCGTCTTCGTCTACCTCTTCTTCAACATCACCGACATCAGCTAACCGTCTTAACATGCCTTCCGAAAGGGTACTAGCTAACCGATCATGAACGTTGAAATGCCAAGGTAAACCCAAAGGCTCGGGCTCGTGCTCGGGCTCCTCAGGTTCAGGTTCAGGTTCAGGTTCAGGTTCACCAGAACTGGAATCCCAGAGCGAGCCAGTACTAGGAGAGGAATACACACGACTTGCACTCAAACTCTCATTTGAACCTTGCCTCTGGTAGAACGTATGGAAAGAACAATACAACCTGACGAGGTTCGGAAAACATGGGATGATCTCGTATGTGGTGGAATCGAGTAGGAGGGTTTTGAGTGAGGGGCAGTGGACTGGTAATAATCGGTCTCGGTCTTGCGGTCGGGATTCGAAGGGTTTGGGCGGGAGAAGGTCGGTACGCTTATCTCTGTTTGAATTGGATGAAGAAGAAGAGGATGATGACGACAATGATGATGATGATGACGGAGGAGATGATGATGCGGAAGTGGAAGGAAAAGAAGGCCTCGGGTGATAACCATACGCGGAAATGTTGGAGATAGAGCTCGAAGAGGAAGAAAAGGAGGTGGAAGTGGAAGTGGAAGTGAATATCCGTCCGACAAGCGGACTAGTGGGCCCAATGATTTGTAGAGTTTGCAAGTTGGTGAGCTTGGTTAGACATTCTGCGAGAGAAAATATCGTTTCTTCCGAGGTTTTCGGTGGGACTGTGATAGTAAACGACCTGTAAAAAAACAATCAAAAAGTCAACACACACGAAACCGACAAAGGAAGGTTTTTTCTCGAAAAGCTGAGTGTAGCGGCAATGAAAAACGCACTGGACGTATTGCGCTAAATCTCCTATGCCCGTCCTTCCGGACAACAAACCTGTCACCGCATCTAACTCCCTCTCGATCCTTCCTTCCAACGATAATGTCCTTCCTCCCGTCTTCTTTCCGCTTCGTTTGCTTGTATCAACACGACGATAGCCCGCTGCACAAACGACGTTCTGCCAAAGCAAAGGTCTACACTTGACCCTCAACGCTTTGCAGGTCTCCGAAAGCGCTTTCAAAACCCTCCATCCCTCCAGTACGTTGCTAGGAATCGGAACCTCGTTAGAAGTATACGGATATCGCATCGTCTTATAGTACGAAACGATCTCATAGACCAGTTCAGGCGCGAGCGTCGGGAAACCTGTGGTATTGGAATGGCGGTCATCCAGACCGTGTTGTGCGTCGTCTATGATACTATAGACCATTTTGGGAGAAAAAACAACACAGAAAAAAAAAGAAAGTGAGAAAGGAAAGGTGAAAAAACCAGGAGATAAATCAAAAAAGAGGGAAGAAACGAAAGGGAAAGCAGACGACGCTTTTTCTATTTCTTCAAGACGCTAAACAACGTCTTGGATGAACGACAAGCTGTCGTCAGAGCTTATGTCAAGACCACGTGAGCAGAAATATCACCTATGACGTTACCCGGAACAAAGAAAAAGACCTCCCTGGCTGGGAGTCGAACCCAGCTTTCGCGCGTCATGTTGAGCCAAATTTGTAATGACAGGCGCGTGTACTAACCGATATACTACCAGGGAATTAGACTTTTTTTCTTTCTCGTTGAGATAAGTACCATCCCAAGTATTCGTCCTTTGTTTCCTCTGTAAAAAAAAGTTCCGCTACCTCTCCGATCACTTTTGACAGGTTTTTCGTCAACGGATTCAAATTGTGCTGATTTGTAAGCATGCCAAGAAATATTTACCCGCGTAATGACTTCGACTCGGAATCTTACCGCAAAAAAGTCACTCCTTGAAGTCAAGAAGAGGTCAGAGGCGGTAGAGGCCTCAAGGCCGTTAAGTTCATGTGTAAATTGCAAAAAAAAAAATTTACAACGTTGCATAAAGTTTTCCATAGTAATTCAAATCGTATGAGTAAGTACTTTAGTCCTCAATCCGGGTGATCTTGGTAAAGTTGGCATTTATGTACTTCGAAGACGATAATGTTTTTGGATGTCCATCTAATCTAACAGAGTCTCACCACGTTTGTGGGTAGCGGGCGCTTGCCGCGGGAGTCGGCCCTACTGGTTATTCAAGATATCGACATGTAGAGGAACCTTTGAGGATCACAAGAAATTCCTGGACTCGAATTAGGCATCCTTAGTTAGTTAGTTAGTTAGTCAGTTAATTACACGGCAGGGTCCCAGGTCGGAACAGCCGGACGACCAGTGGCAGTAGGGACAAGACACAACACCATACCAGAGAGGGCCCGCCCTACCAGCACCATAAGATATCAATATACAAAAAAATAAATCGTAGTATAGTACATGTAGTCAGTGTTACTAATTTTCATCATTCTCTCGCAGCCCCTCCAGCAGCCCAGGCATGCAATACATCGAAAGTTTTCGACCATCGTTTATCAATGTGACGGTATACATACAAATTTTGCCATATCATGCACAGTCTCCCAATCAAAAATCAGCCGTTTGACCCAGTCTAATGCTTCTTCCGAGGACAAGGAGACTGGAATGTCCCAATTACGTTCTCTCAGCACTGTCTCACGTATCTCCTGTTACCATTACACTGTCTCGCGATCTAGCATGCACTGCAGTAGGGCGTGTTCCGGCGACTCTACCATGCATCGTGCAGATGCAGCATGTTGTCGTCTGGTAACAGATGACCAACGAAGCCTCTCTAGTGCGTATTCATGTTGCCCACATAGTAGCCATGTGATGGCATTGGGATATTTAGAATTCGGGATTAGGTATAAGTAGTGCCTCAATGTCCTAACCACCTGTCTTGGTGTGTAACCCCTCCTCCCCGATGTAGCGCTCAGCTATCAACAAACATTGATCCAATCCGGATCCAAACATTGCCCGGAATTGAAAGACGAATTAAGTGGACCACCGCAAGCGTGGCAAGTACGAGGTCTTTGCCATGGAACAGTGCAGCCAGGGAAGTCAGAAGCTTCTGATCCAGACGGGGTCACACTATGACGACCCTTTGGACTGATAATCAAGGTCGAGAGACCATATCGGTGACCGACAGAGGCAAAAACTTGCGTGTAAAGACAAGTGAAGTGGGCCACCACACGCATGGCAAGTATATACGAGGTCTTAGAATGGCTATTACCAGGCTGAGGAAGAGAGGACTCTGATCCAATCAGATGAAAGAAGCTGGAGTTTCCGATACCTGATTGGTAATACTTAAAGGTCTTGACAAACAAGACCACATCGGTGACCGACCGAGGCAAAAAAGACGATTCGGATTCCTCCTTTGAGTCGGCCTCGTAATTAGTCT